CTTGTTAGCCTTTTTACACGACTAAACCATGGAGAACTATGGAGAAGACATCATTGATATCATACGAATGACAGGTTTAGCATAATCCACGCTAGATGTGCTCTGAGGCAGAAACTCGTTTCTCATAAATAGTTTACTTTTAATTAGTTTTCTTACCTCTTGTTGAGCTTTTCACGTAATATCGCTCCAAGTCTTTGACAAAATCGTCCGGTCTAGCCTCCTTAGTTCTGTTATTTAACTCACATATCCCTTTGAACACGACGTTAAAGCTTTGGCATCTGATATCAGCGCGGCACGCCTGTCTGCATTCTGTTGTACCTGGTTGGGTCTTCAAGGTCTTAAAGGTGTGGCCTTGAAGCATCATTTGGTAGACTGAGTGAAGATCAGTCCCACACTGCTGGCTGGTAAGATGTCGGAGTGCGACAGACGTCATTACCAGTACTGTAATGTGGGCTTTGAATTGTCGCCAAGCCATTCGTGGCAAACACGATTGCTGATCTTGACAAGAAGAAATAAACTTTCTTTAATTATCATCTTATTTTTATCCCAATATTCTTAGTGTAACTTATTTTGATGAGTTCTTTAGAGAACAGAAAGAAGAAGAAGAAAAAGAAGAAGAAAAACTCTAGAAAATTAAACGGAGTTTGGGTTTTGCATAGAATTAAACGACTTAAATTTGGAGATTTTAAAAATACGGTGGATTGATGATGAGATGAGAAGTTTGGCCCAGATTCTGTTCTTCATAATCTTTGTTGTTGTATTTTGTTTTCGGTTTTTGTTTTACTAAATAGAGGATTAATCTTCTTCGTTAAAAATTGTTGACAATGAAAAGTCGTTTCCTCGATAATAAACAAGCAAACAAAAATGAAGAAGAGAGGCTGGAGCATGGACTCTTTATCACGCTGTCCGATGATATTCACATTTAGTTGTTTACAGATCTATTTTACGTTATAAAAAAGCAAACATCTACAACAACTTACGATAAACCATCTCAAGAGAAGTAAATTTAAAGATACTAACTCTTCATTCGAATAATCACATTTGGCCAAAATCACCCCAAAGCTAAGGATTTACGTTTCTTTCTCTCTTATCAGTGACCTTTGTATTTTGCGCGTTACCCAAACAATTTAGTTTTGATTAACTTGAAAAATGAAGGTTTGAATAATGACCGAAAAAAATGTTTGCAATCGAATAGAAAATCTCTCTTTAGTTGAGATGTTGTGCTCCAAAACTTGCAAGTAGGACGAACTAAGGAAACTGTGCGTTGATCACAGCTCCTGAATTATAAATATAGTATGTAGAGAGAAATGGAAAGACAGAACTTTGGAATTAAGACCGTGGTTTAATGCCATGGACCAAAGGTGAGATGGAATAATTAAGGTTACAGAGTACAACTGCGAAGCATGGTTAATTTTTTCTGCACTTTGAAAGACAATTTTTCATATCTCAAATCACATGTTTTGGAATGCAGCGTCATACAACTTACGTGTTAGAGATACTTAATAGTTCTTCAGGGTCTTTCCCGGTGGGTTTTTCCTCCGTTTAACTACAGTAACCAAACTAAACTGAAGCTGGTTTAAACATTCGTTAATGACTATAAAGCTTTCTGAATAGTTGTTAACCCCCCGTGGACTTCCCTGAGGCGACGTGACTGTGAGCACAGCAACTCTTGGCTCACGTATTCAATTCTCTCGTATGTTCCTACAGACCCAAAAAATAGCTCAAGATCGATATCTAATTACCCGTTTTCATCAAACAAATCCTTTGGCGAAACAGCTTCACAGTGAAGATGTTCTCGTAAATCGAGCTTGGCTTACCTGTGGTTCTGCAAAAGTGAAAGATAACAATATAGAAGTTCTTTTATCAAAAATACCTTGAAGGCGACATACTAATGACGAA